ACTGCTGACGTCAGGATCACACTCCCTTGTCTCCTCCGCACTGGTCCAAGGCTCAGATGCCACCTGGTGGCCAACCAGTCTCTCCACGCCCTGCTCGGAGTTGGAACCCTGTCCAGGGTCCTCCACATCCTCCAGGGTCGACTCATAGGGCCCCTCGCTGTCGGAGTCTGGTGGCAGCTCCAACGGCTCCTGCTGGGCCACAACAATTTCCCATACTTCACATTTTTACTTATTTCCAATTTAATTGTGTATAAGACTTCAAATTCTATAGTTTGTTTGGGGTTTTACATTTACAGGAGAAATTGTATTGTTACAAGCCAGACATTCACATTTCTGAGCTTGCATATGGCTGTGCCTCTGTTGCTGCACTGCCTTTCTATATTAGCTAACAAAAGATCTCCAGGTCAGTCACTTCAACTAAGTGACTGCATCATTTTGGTCCACAGGCATTCCTAGTTGACAGTACATCCCATTCCTACAGAGGAGTCACTACATCAGTTGTTTTATTATTTGTTTTCTCATAGCAATGATGATTGCAACCTTGTTTTTCCTGGAGGATAAAATTGAGGATATTGAGCCCTGACATGCATCAATTCCAATACTTTTCAGGGACACCAATATATATGGTAAATTCTCTTTCTTTTGCAAAATTCATAGTTAATGTCTGCAGCTGTGCTCAACAGCTCTCACAATTACAGAACTCTGCTGTTTGACAAGCAGATAATGTTTAATTCTCAGTTACAGAAATTAAAGTGTGTTGATTTTTGTGTACAAATTCAAACATCAGTTTTTCCTAATAATGAATGGCTTAAAACTATTTTAAAACCACCTTGCATTCAACCTTTTCATCTTGGCCAATTACATTTTTGAATGAGATTACTTTTATGTTTTTTGGTAGAAATATATTTAATAGAACTTCTACAAGCCATGACATACATACATACATATATACATATAAATAAAAAGTCCCTGGTGTGTGAAGTTTTATTTCCATCACTTGATGAATGTCATCTGTAACCTCCAGCTATATGGAAGCTGTTTAATTCAAACGTTTAAAAGTGTGCCTGGCGTTCACGTTTAGGCTACCTTTTGGTCTACCTTGCAGATAAATGGTATTATTAGACATCCATTTAAAAATAATATAGTAAACAGCTAATGGAGTGCAGTATTGTAAGAAGTTTGATTGCAGAGTTAAACCTTTGTCTCACATAAGATAAATAGAAAAGATTACCCATCTATAATACATAATAGTTTTAATACTAATAAACTAAATCTGTAGATTATACAGTACTTGGAGGGGATCTAAAATAGGTTAAAGCAGTGAAAAAGCATTTGTTCCCCTCTAGTTTCCTCTCCTTGCATTTTCACAATTTTTTTATGGTTTATGGTTTTATGGTTTTATTATTTATAGGCCGCCCTTTTCCCTGAGGGGACTCAGGGCGGCTTACAATATATAGGGAGGGGAGTACAAGACAGTAAGACATAACAATACATAAGTAAAAATAGTGCACAACATTCATCATTCGGGTGGGGACGGATT